GCTAATTTGCTATCTTTATCCCGAAATTTTATACGCCATGCCCGTATCACATCCTCTATATGACAAGGCATCACCCAATCCATAGATTTTGAACTGAGTATACTGTTCCAAATCCAACGTACACCATTACAATGAATGAACAAATGATTGATCGTCTCCCCATCCTTCTTGCACATATAAAACCACTCGGTTGCGTATAAGCCTTTACGACGAAGATTATCCACCGTTGAGACCTGTCTCCTCATAATTGTCCACAATAGGAATGCCACCCGAGGAGGCAATTTACACTGCCACACCAACTTCCAGGGGAATGAATCATTCACACATCCCATGAGGGAACCAAAGTACAAGCGAACTGAAAAAATGACATCCTGTGCTGTCCTCCACCTGATGCAATCCCTCTCTCCAACCCGAATTCGGGCCTCATGTAAAATGGTCATAAACAGCGAATAATCTTCCAATTCCCAATCCTGAAGATCCCTCCCAAAAGTAATATTCCAGCTATAGCTCCCATTATGAATGTCTAAGAAATCACTCACCATAGCAGTGGACACTGAGGCAATGCGATGCAAGGAAGGGAATCTCTCCTTCAGCGGTTGATCTCCACACCAACAATCATCCCAAAATTTAATCTCATTACCATTTCCAACCACAAACTTCAGTTTGTCCAAAAAAGCACTCCATCCCCGTTGAATATACCTCCACAAGCTCACCCCATAAGAACCACGATCCTCAAATGTACACCATCCCCCCTCCGTCACACCATACTTCGCCCCAATTATTTCTCTCCAGAAGCTTTCCCTCTCCACTTCAAATCGCCACAACCACTTGCCTAATAAGGCTTTATTGAACAACACAAGGCTCCTCACCCCAAGACCCCCCATCCTCATCGACAAACAAACAACTCCCCAATTGACCAAATGGAGTCTCCTCTCCTCTCCCAACCCTGCCCACAGAAATTCTCTTTGAAGCCTCTCTAATCTCTTTGCCACTGCAATCGGAATGGGGAACAATGACAAAAAGTAAGTAGGGAGATTGGAGAGAGTCAATTTAATGAGAGTAAGTCTACCTCCCTTAGAAAGGTACATACGCTTCCACCCTGCTAACCTTCTCTCCATCCTTTTCACAATACCATTCTAGATATGGGTACTTTTAAATCGTGCCCCTAACGGGAGTCCTAGATATGATATCGGCAACTGCGCAACCTTACAACCTAATATATCAGCCAACTCCTCGACATTATTGACCTCCCCAACTGGAATAGCCTCAGACTTCCCCAAATTGATTTTCAAACTAGACACCGCTTCAAAACATAAGAGCAGACGGCGCAAGTTCCTGAATTGTTCAACATCTGCATCGCATAAGATCAACGTGTCATCTGCAAATAATAGATGAGACACCTGCAATTGGTCAACCATAAAACTCCTTATCAAACCCGCTCTCACGACTCTTTCAATCATCCTACTGAGAGCTTCCATCACAATGACAAATAATAATGGGGACAATGGATCCCCTTGTCTCAAGCCTCTACTGCTCGGAAATAACCCTCAGGTGTTCTGTTAACCAAAACTGAGAATGAAACAATAGAAATACAGAATTGAATCTATTTACATCATTTATCCCCAAAGCCACAGTGCCTGAGCATATACAACAAGAAACCCCAATTCACATGATCGTAAGCCTTCTGAATATCTAGCTTACAAAGCATCCCTGGGGCCCTTAGGCGCATTCTTGAATCTATGCATTTATTCGCTATAAGCACACAGTCCAAAATCTGACCCCCTTTTACAAATGCATTCTGAAACTTGGACACTACTTTTCCCAGCACCTCCTTTAATTTATTTGCCAGGACTTTCGAAATAATCTTATACACCCCGCTGACAAGGCTAATGGGGCGAAAGTCCTTAATATCAGTCGCTCTCGATTTCTTAGGTATGAGCACAATAAATGTGGCGTTAGAACTTCTCTGGAATCTGCTACGTTCAAAAAAATAAGATAAAGTATTCACAATGTCCGGTCGAACCACATCCCAACACGCTTTGTAGAATGAGAACGAGAAACCGTCCGGTCCCGGAGCCTTATCATCGTTCATGCTAAAAACAACCTCCTTAATTTCATCCTCCCCAAATGGTCTCTCCATCCATCGGGCATCAGCCTCAGTGATTGTAGAAAAGTGCAATCCCTCCAACTCTGGCCTCCATTCAAATTGCTCCCGATAGAGGTTCTAATAAAAATTCACCAGTTGGCTTCCAATTTCTTGTAGTTCCTCATAAGTAACCCCGTCCACCTCCAAAACTGTGATGGAGTTGTTCTTCCTATTAGAATTGGCGACCCTGTGGAAGAATTTAGTGCATTTATCCCTCTCTTTCAACCAAGTAACTCTAAATTTCTGTCGCCAATTAATCTCCTCCATCTCCACCAACCTCTCCATATCTTCCTTTGATACTCTATGTCTCTCCTTCTCCTCCCCAGTCAACCCCTGACTCTCTTTCCGCCTATCCAATTCCTCTATCTCTGACAGACACTGATTTTTACTGCAGTTAACATTGCCCACAACTTCCTCATTCCATTTCTTTAAGTCCCCTTTCAACGCCTTTAGCTTCTGATTCAATACAAAATAGGGAGACCCACTGACTTCATAGGAAGTCCACGACGTCTGTACTCGCTCCCTAAAACCTTCTACTTTCAACACATCTTCTCAAACCTGAAAGTTCTTCTTCCACCCCCCCTTCTATTCCCCGATAACATAATAGGAAAATGATCCGAGTATACCCTCCCCAATCTTCGCTGAGTGACATCTGAATATTTAGACTCCACTCCCCACAAATCAAGAACCTATCAATACGAGGCAAAACGGGTCGATCCCGATTGGATGACCAAGTAAAATCTCCCCCAATCATGGGTAAATCCATCAACAAATTCTCCCTAATAAAATCTGAGAACTCCTCCATTGCCCTAGTTAGTCTCCCACCACTCGACCTCTTCGAAGGAAATCGAATCACATTGAAATCATCCCCAATACATGTAGGGGGAGATTCCACCAAGCCCTCATTCCAGCTAGTTCATCCCACAAACCCACTCTACTGTCATCAGAATTAGGCCCATAAACTCCTGTGAACATCCACCGAAATCCATCCTCATAATTTTTGAAAGAAATCGATATAGAGAACACCCCTATACTCACCTTCTTCATCTCAAGCACTCTAGTGTCCCACATCACCAACATGCCTCCTGAAACCCCTGATGACCCCAAAAACTGATATCCTACATGATCTCCCCCCCCATAAACTACAAATCACCGCCCTCGAGATAAACTCCATCTTAGTTTCTTGTAGGCAAACAAGATTTGCCCCCCATCCCCTTAGCAAATGACGAACACCAAGCCTTTTACTAACCTCATTGAGACCCCTTACGTTCCAACTAATGAGTTTTGGCATCATTGTAACACACCATAACCCCTCTCCATTGTTCCTTTCTTGGACTCGCCACCCTTACCAGCATAGTTTACTGACCATTCGAGCCTCTTAAGTTCACGATCACTCTTTCTTCTTAATTTACTTCCATGTGTACTGATGTCTTGTCCCCTATTAGCCTACAGCTCCTCGAATAATTGTAACAATCTACTTTCATACCCATCACATGACACGCCAACCAACTTACTGAATTCCTGAATTTTTTGTAGAACTCAGTTTGAAGGTGGGTGACCAACTTCTAACACAATAGCTCCTGAAGTATCCTCACCCTGATAGCCCTCGAGATGATCAAAGGACCGTTCTTTCTCTTCCACCACTGGTATAATGTCACTGTCACTTTCTCCTTTCTTGGCACCACCTACCCATAACACCAAAGCTTTTTCGGTCCCCATATCATTATCTTTTGTCCTCCTATTATAAGTGTTCGTAATCCTTGATATCGTCTGTGTAGAGTTGTTTTCTTTCACAGTGTCCATTGACAATTTCTCCAAGTTCACCCTACTAAACTCCCCTTCCTTAGACAACGGTTCCTCTTCTCGTTCAACTACAATCCCCGTGTCTACTTCAATTCGGTTGACCCCCACAAAGTCAACCCCGTCATCGTTTTCATGGTATCCCACTTCCATCCTCACCTGAGAATCACAATGTTCATCTCCTCCCTGCTTTGCATGTTCTGTAATTGATGGTAGTTCCTCATGAGTCAATCCCGGTACGTGTATTTCATCGATTTGATCCTCATCCAACTTAACCCCACACTTGTGACAGCGTACCAATTTCATGGGCTCCATTTCAGGTCCACTTCCAACCAATCTAAGTAATTCATCTAATGCTCCTTTCAACTCCTGCGCACGAGTTATTATTTCAGCCCTACTCAAACAAATGTCTTGACCTTCATTATCACCAACTTTATTTGTCCTTTCCTTTTGCTGTAGCATCCGTTGGTTGGCATTCTCCGAGGTCTGTGAGTTTGCTGTAATTTCTACATAAGTCATCCTTTGTCTGTTTCGTTCATTCACCGTTTGTCGTTTGGCATTATCCCTAGCAACAAATGAGTCAACAACTGCTTGAAACACCTGCAATACCGACGCCCATCCCTCTCCATTTGCACCTTCGGTATCATGACAACTCCTTTCTGATGCCTCTCCCCATATTGTGCTATCATCAAATATCTGCCTCGACGGTTCATACACCATTGTGCCAAGAAAGCTCTTGAAGACTCGTTGAACTTAAAAACACATTCCTCAAATTCACTTCTCATCCTCAATCTGTCTACCATATTCACCATCCAAATAGCACCATACCTTCCCATAAAGATTGAATCCGATAACTTCGAACCCCATTCTGTCAACTTAACAGTGCCAGAATCATTAATAGATACTGCGAAGTCCTTCGCCTCCACTCTGAAACGATGATTGAATACCATACTACGCACATCCGCCAATTTTTTCTTTTGATTGTGTACTAGCAATTCATCAAATGGAGGAACAGACAAGCCGGCGCGTCTGCCGTCGTGCCTTCATAAATTGCAAGAATGGTTTTTGATTTTTCTACGTGCGTCGCATCTTGGTTTCCTTCCATTACTTCAATCGAAGGATTTCCCATCTGAATTTACAAAGTAATATAATTTTATAATTCATTTACCAAGAAACATACGTTTTCTATTTATTGTTTCAATCACCCACCTTCTATGGAGAATCATTGTCAGGCTCCATAACATTAGTTTTATCCAACTCAACATTGAACTCAACAACGCACCCATATGCTTCATTATAAAGTTTTTTGGGCAAGAGGTACATTTGATACTATAAGCAATAAGTTTACACAGCTTCTTATGATGAAACTGCTAGTGCTAGAGTCTTCTATGGAGGATCATCGTCAGGCTCCATAACATTAGTTTCATCCAACTCAACATTGAACTCAACAATGTCCACATCCATTTTATCATCACAGGGTTTAGAATCAACATAGTCGTCATCTCTCTCCTGCATAAAAATCGAAAATGTAATATATTCATGTACCCATGTGGTTCATTATAAATTTTTTTGGGTAATAGATACATTCGATATAGTAAGCAATAGGTTTACAGATATATACGCTTCTTACAATGAAACTGCTAGTGCTCGAGTCTTGGATTCAGCTTGTTCTAACACCATATAGAAATAAGCATCTTTTCCGGGAAATGACAAATAAAGAAATTGCGAGAAACAAAGCGAATGTAGAATAAAAAAGGAGTTCCTTTTCTTTAGTTTTTGATTTGATGAATTTTCTGCACCTTAGGACATAAACATACAATTCTTACAAGGTTTGTACCATAAGAGAATAAGGAAATCCCTATAAACTAACATAGTAATCACTAAAAGGGTGTATTAATTTATCGATTTTGATTAGATCAAAATAATATTTCACGATGTTAGGCATCGTGGTCGGGAACCCAATGGGTCGCACACAAAAGAGAATTTGAAGACTGCAAATTGTTAATTGATTAATTTAACAATCGTTGGATAAATTAATTAATTGTTGATTTGATGAATTTTCTGCACCTTAGGACATAAACATACAATTCTTACAAGGTTTGTACCATAAGAGAATAAGGAAATCCCTATAAACTAACATAGTAATCAAAATTTATTTACTTTTAAAGCTCAAAAACAATGTATTCTTGCTCCTTAAATATATCATAAAAACTAACACCCACAATCGATTACAATTTTCTATTCTTTTTAAGTTAATTATAATTTATAAAAAAAATCTAAAACCCAAAGAATTAACAATTTCACATTATCAAATTTTTATTTGCAAATTTAAACAATCAATCGCGCAAAAACTTCAATTAGTTTAGAAAACAAAAGGGCTGGTTTTGACAGACTTATGAATTTTACAGGAATTCGAGGACCCACACAGAAAACAAAATTAAATAAATCAAAAGTGAATTTCGTAGAACAAAAAAAAAAAGTTTAAATTAAATACTATCAGAGTCAATGGAATCATTTTGGCGCCAAGTTTAGTTAGTTTAGTTGGACAGCTGTTCTTGTAACTAATTTTCCTGCCTTTTTATTTTCCTATTTAATATGGATGTACAATTCATTTTCTGGTATGTTGAATGAGAAATTAGATTTTTCTAGATTTCTCTTTTACCTCTAATATGGTATCAGAGCAACTTCATCTTCTCATTTCCATTCCTTGATTGCTCGAAGTTTTGGTTTTCATTCTAAACGGAGTTCATTCCATGATTGTTCGAAGTTCTGGTTTTCGTTTCGAACAAAATTCATTCACCATGGCTACTGGTGTTGTGATTCAAAATCAATCAAGCAATTTCTCATCAATTAGTAGTTCCGCAATTGCTGATTACAACAAATATCAGAGGAAGGAGAGATCTGTATGTAAGTGTTATGCCCTAGATCCAATCGATTTAGGTTGTAAATGCTTTTAATATATTTAATGCATTTGATTTTGGCGAGATCTATTATTTATTTAAATTAATTTTGTAATAAATGATATTAAATAATAGAATCCGAAGACCCAATTTTTAGGTAATCTGTTAATCACAAGGAGTTGTGATTGTGAGATACAAATTACATATAATTGGATCTTGAATAAACCATGGTCGTAAGTAATAACGAGATACGGATATCTTTAATACAGTTAGACCATCACGTGTGGCATTTCTTACTTATGAAGTAAGTAGCTGATCTCACGAGCTAAAGTGTGGTGACACTTAAATGAACATGTGGATGTTTTGTTGTAGAACAAAACATTGGAGACCCGCTAAGAGATTCCACATGGATAACTATCTGAGTGTCAGTGGCTAATCTCTAACGTTCGGTAGTGGGATTGATCCTTTGACTTGAGGTCGTCATAGTACCCTATATGAGGACAGTCATACTTTGGCGGTGTTGGATGTTGCTCTGAAAGGGGCCGCTAATACGACATCGTTCGAGTACGTCAAGAATCGTATGAAGGTGTGATTGATCAATAAAGGATTCGTCACTCTTAGATAGTAGGAGATGATCTGCGTTTCATTCAATTAAGTCGATGATGAAATCCTTGGCCAAGGTGTACTCATAAGTCGAAAAGGAGTTTTCGATTTATATTGACTTAGTAGTGGAATGAAAGATATGATCGATGATCGAGATTGACACAATTCCATATCTCGTAATTGATCGGATCGTATTGACGAAGGGATAATAGTTCCATGATAAACGAACGATTTTGGTTTTGTCATACCACGTGACATTTCCCGTCACATGTATTGCCCTGACACATTGCTAGATGTCAATCAGGGACGGCGAATGTGAATTGACGATAAACTAAAAGGGTGTATTAATTTATCGATTTTGATTAGATCAAAATAATATTTCACGATGTTAGGCATCGTGGTCGGGAACCCAATGGGTCGCACACAAAAGAGAATTTGAAGACTGCAAATTGTTAATTGATTAATTTAACAATCGTTGGATAAATTAATTAATTGAATTTCTTATTTATAATCTCGAATTAATTAATTGGATTAATTAATTCACGGACCGGGTTTGATTAATTGGATTAATTAAATATTGGACCGGACCGGTCCGGGTCCGTTTGGGTTTATATATATATGCAGCTAGGGTTTGAGATCCATTAAGTTATTCATTGTTCTTGCTAGCACAAGAAAGAAACCCTAGCAGTTGCTGTTTTCTCTCTGTGTGGATTTCATTGGAGGCTGCACAATTGGACAGCTGTGGGAGGCAGATTCAAGCTGCTGGAAAGGAATAACGCGAAAGAGTTTGCAAATCACACAAAAGGTATATTTCTCATCACAGTTTTTATCTAAATACAAAGCTGAATCCTGAATGGGAATTGAAATTTGTTAATCCGCTGTGCATGTTTAAATCAATTCCCAACACTGTATGCACTTATTGTGGTTACAATGGTCATACAGTTGAAAATTGTTATAAAGCTAAACGGAAAATTGCTTCTAATAAGTCAATTTCTAACAACCATCATGCTCCTGCAAATCAAAAATCTATGCGAACTTTAAATCCTGCACAATATCAACTTCTGATGAAGATGCTGAGTATTCATTTCTCTAATGCAAAGGTTGATGATAAAAAAAGATGCTAATAGCGATCATATATCAGGTACTTGTCTATCCATCTCCCTTAATCCAATGCTTAATTCCCATAGATATTGGGTTATGGATTCTGGAGCAACAGCTCATATTTGTTTCACAAAATCAGCATTCCAGTCAATGAATGCAATTCAGAATGCTTATGTCACTTTGCCCAATCATGAACGAATTCCTGTTCATTTCAATGGAACTGTGAAAATCAGCCCTAATTTGGTCCTTGAAGAAGTGCTGTACGTTCCCTAGTTTAAGTTCAATTTGTTATCCATCAGTTCACTAACCAGAAATTCCTCTATAAATATCAGTTTTTTTTATCGATTATTGCACTATTCAAGATCTGCAAAGTCAGAGGACTATTGGTAAGGGAAAAAGGGTGGCTGATCTATACATATTGGATGATCTGAGTTCTTGTAATACAGTTAATTCTGTGTGTTCTGATGCAAATAATGTGACCACTCATACTTGGCATTGTAGACTTGGTAACTTGTCTTCTCAAAAATTAGAGATGTTGAAAGAACAGATTCCTATGTGTAGTACGCAAAAGAACCTTAATTCAGATCCATGCCACATATGTCCTTTAGCTAAGCAAAGGAGACTATCTTTTGTATCAAACAATCAACTATCTCAAAATGCCTTTGACTTGATACATTGTGACACGGGGTCCCTACCATGTCCCAACATATTCTTGCCATAGATTCTTTTTGACATTGGTTGACGATTGTACACGTTTTACATGGGTCTATATAATGAAGCATAAATTAGACGCAAAATTCATTATTCCTACGTTCTTTGCACTGATTGAAACTCAGTTCCATACAACCATTAAGAAGTTTAGATCTGATCATGCTCCAGAGCTTCAGTTTGCTGAATTTTTTGCCTCAAAAGGTGTTATACATCAATATTCTTGTGTTGAAAAGCCTGAGCAAAACTCAGTTGTTGAGAGAAAACACCAACACCTTCTCAATGTAGCAAGGGCATTATTTTTCCAATCCCGATTTCCTATTCAATTCTGGGGTGACTGTATACTTACAGCCACCTTCTTAATCAATAGGACATCCTCTCCAATCCTGCAAAATAAAACTCCTTTTTGTCTTCTCCATAAATCCCCCATCCAATACCAGTCTCTTAGAGTGTTTGGCAGCCTGTGCTTTGCTTCTACCTTATCATCTCATCGCCCAAAATTTTATCCAAGGGCCAGGGCATGTGTTTTTATTGGATACCCACCTGGCATCAAAGGATATAAGCTATATGACGTTGTTTCAAAATCCTTCTTTATCTCAAGGGATATCAAATTCCATGAAAATCTTTTCCCTTTTCACTCTATCTCCCATGATGATGAACTCATTGATCCCTTTCTAGACTTAGTTTTGCCCAAATCAGTCAGTGATATTATCCATCACACTGAAACTATTCCACCATATAACAATACACTTATGCCTTCTTCTATTAGCCATTATATTGTCCATGATACTACTGCCACTATATCCCCTAACTCCAACTCAAACCCAGAACCAAATGCTCCCATAATTCCAGCTCATAGGAGATCAAACAGAAAACGCAAAACCCCATCATACCTCCAAAACTATCACTGCAATCTGTTCACAAATACTCCTATTGACCATCATACTGAGTACCCTCTCAGCAAATATCTATCTCATAAAAAATTTTCACATTCCCATCGTACCTTTCTCTTCAATATTTCCTCCAGTTATGAACCACAGTTTGATCACCAGGCAGTTGAATTCGATCATTGGAGAAAGGCTATGGAAACTGAGTTGGAGGCAATGGAGCTCAATAAAACTTGGTCAGTTGTTCGTTTACCTAAAGATAAACACTCTATAGGTTGCAAATGGGTGTTTAAAATCAAGCATAAATCTGATAGCAGTGTTGATAGATATAAGGCACGTTTAGTGGCAAAAGGTTATACCCAACAAGAGGGTCTGGACTTTATTGAAACCTTCTCTCCTGTAGCTAAGTTGGTCACAGTCAAACTCTTTCTTGCCATTGCAGCAATCAATAAATGGCAGATTGTTCAAATGGATGTAAACAATGCTTTTCTAAACGGTGATCTTTTTGAAGGAATCTATATGGATTTACCATTGGGTTATACTAAGCATAGCAAAACTGATACACAAGGGAAGAGGTTGGTTTGTAAATTACACAAATCAATATATGGCTTAAAGCAAGCCTCAAGGCAGTGGTTTTCCAAATTCTCTACTGCTCTCACTACACATGGTTTCAATCAGTCAAAATCTGACCATTCTCTGTTTACCAAAGGTTCTAAAGATACATTTGTTGCTTTATTAGTCTATGTTGATGATATTATCATCACTGGTTCAGATTTGAAGATCATCAATTCAGTAAAACTTTTACTGCACAGCTTATTCAAATTGAAGGACCTTGGCTGTTTGAAATATTTATTGGTTTGGAGATTGCATCCTCACAAAAGGGTATTTTCCTCTCTCAACGACAATACACACTGCAATTACTGGAAGACACTGGATTTTTTAGGCTGTAAACCAGCACTTATACCCATGGATCCCAAGGCTAAACTTTGTGCATTTGAGGGGGAGCTCCTTGCAGATGCTTCACTATATAGAAGACTAATCGGTCGTCTTCTGTACTTGACTATTTCCATACCAGACATTACTTTTGCCGTCCATAAGTTGAGTCAGTTTGTTGCTCAGCCTAGAAAACCACATTTAAATGCCGTTCACCAGCTCCTGCAATATCTCAAAGCTAGTCCAGGACAGGGAATTTTGTTTTCAGCATCCTCTTTATTTCAACTTCGTGCATTTGTTGATGCTGATTGGGGTGCTTGCTTGGATACAAGAAAATCTATGACAGGATTTTGTGTCTTCCTTGGTGATTCCATGGTCTCTTGGAAAGCTAAGAAACAAAGCACAATTTTGAGATCATCTGCAGAAGCTGAATAACGTGCCTTAGCCTCTACAACCAGTGAGCTCATGTGGATTCATCAATTGTTGAAAGATTTTCAGGATGCTGACAACTCTCCAGCGCTCATTTTTTGCGACAATCAAGCCGCTATCCACATCGCAAGTAATCCAATTTTCCATGAGCAAACCACACACATTGAGATAGATTGCCACTTTGTAAGTGATAAGATCAATGAAGGGAGCTTCAAGTTGCTACCAGTTCGAACTCCTCATCAACGTGCTGACATTTTCACAAAACCGTTACCAGCTACTATGTTCTAACAATATATAAATATTAAAATCAAAAAGGAGAGATTCTGGACAAATATTTAAGAAGATATCAGAAAGTCTGCATTACATAAATTATTTCTGGACAGATTCTTACTTACCCAACCAAATAAAATCAAAATGAGAGAAAAAATGTAGATATAATCATCAAGAATATAATAGTGAAAGTGACCAGAAACGCAGGATGTCCCAAAAACTGTAAACTTCCATTCATCTAATGAAAGCAATGTTTGATCCTAATTTGACTTGCTTTCACCTTAATCCTTTTTTCGTTAACTAGCAAGACATGTTCATTGTTAATTTAGTTGATTTTAGCCAATTACAAAAATGATCTGTGTAATCTAACCACTAAAACCTTAAAACGTAGTCACTCAATAATCTTCCAAAATCGCTATGTTTTAGAGAGAGAAGCCGCATTGTTTTAGAGAGAGAAAAGAGAGAACCTGGTCTGAAGTCATCATCATCGCAACACAAGATCCAACAACAATCCATTCCCTCTCTTTTACTCCTTACTTAAATATTCTCTATCAGCACACTTTACGTCGCATAAGAGCAAAAATTTGACCCGGAATTGTAAAACCTTGACCTTGTTGAAGGGATGAACACCAGATCATTAGCTTGATATAAATATATAAATTTTAGCTCATGATATTGAGTTTATATGGTGAAAAGAGTTAAGAGGGCCAACAGCTGTAGACCCATGTCAAGAATTGTGTTGTCTTCAGGTAAGCTTATCTGACTTTATGTAGACTTCATAGATATTTCGGTTTTTATTTTGTTTAAATGTGTTCTTGCTTTGATTTGTGATAATAATTTTATTGTGTGTACTATATTTCAAATGGCTTCATAGATTTTTTTTTAAAAAAAAAAAATTGTGTGTACTATATTTCAAATGGCTTCATAGATTTTTTTTTAAAAAAAAATTCTTTTTTTTTTTTTAAAGAGATGAGGCCCCACAATATGAGACCCAAGGCAGTGGCCTCACTTGCCTTGGGCTAGGGTCAGCACTGGGGCCAAGTAAGCTAGTGGGTAATAGTTGATGCTTAGTCGGCCAATATGATATTCCCTCAGTCACGAGCATGCCACATAATTTATAGATATAATAGCATCTACATTATAGCTCTCTTGAATGTTGACACCTTTGATTGGAGTCTGTCAAACGGATCTCAATATCTTTCTCATGAGCTTGAATTATGAAATTTTTTTCGCCCAAATCAAATGATAGTACAACAATATCACACAACTTGGAATGAAAATTAGCAAATGCACTCATTAACCTTCATAAACAAACTTTCAAGTCTAGTTATAAGCATTTAGAAAACTTCATTGCATTAGTTCCCTGTAAGCTACTTCAAGAATGTCACACTTATTTTGCAATTTCGCATGTGGAAATTAGTTTGATATGATGTTCACCCACTGGCATTTAGAGCTTTTGAGTTATACTTATGCTAATTCTTTCTTCATTAGGGGTCCATTTATCTTCGTCTTTGGGAACAACCTCATTTTCAGTATTTCTTGTGGTAGAGTGGCTCCATCCAAAAACGGCAAATCAACATGCTATCACATCAAGTGAAGCAATGAAACCTTTGTTCTAGCGTTCTAGTAGTAAGTGTAATTCTACCTGTTGGTGCACATTCGACTAGTGCTCCTTCTCATTGAAGATCCATGCTTGGTAAAACAGGTCAACTAAATCTCAAAATCTTACAAATAGATGTTATTTATCAGCTCGGCTGACAACTGTTAGACTTTTTTTATCAATTTAGTGAAAAAGGATTAACGTCCAATTAATTGATTTAGTGAATAAGTAAAAAAGCATAAATAATAACACAAGCAATTTGACATGGTTCGGCAACTATCTACATTCACAGGCCACGCCCAATTATTGAACAGTTCACTATGTTATAACATATTACAAACACCATTGGACTTGAACAAATAAAGACTCCTTATGTAGAATCACATCTTGGGCTTGTTTAGTGAGCATCGCTCGTCTAATTAATTTGAAACGCTCAACTCAAAGATGCAAATCTTCTTGAGAAAAATACATAACTATAATACTTTTAAATATACAAATTCACATTTAACAAATTTAAAAAAATATTTCAAAAATCAAGTGATAAATAACAATAATATATTACATAATGTAAAAACGTGCTTGCATGCTTGCTTATAATCGAGTTCTAAGTAGTAATACTTACTTGAAATCATAAAATCGAGGTTGAATTACTTGCCTTTGATTTGCTTGCTTTTCACACTATCTTGTGCTAGCTTCTTGGTCAGAAATTCGATCACAAAGGAAGGAATTTGATAACCACAATTCAAGAACCAAATTTGAGATGTTATTATTCCAAAATCAAGCCACAATACTCATGTTGTATTCTCTCATTTTTGTAAATCTGAATTTCACCAGGTATATTTTCAGTTTTTGATGGAAATGAAGTTATATGGAAGAAGTTGATTGTGGGAGGTAAAGTTTCAAATCTAATTTCCAACTCCTCCCCCCAAAATTCATTTCCATGCAAATCGGGTTGAGTCAACTCACACGACGACCCATTTTCTTTCAACACATAAGATATTATAATCTATGAATTTTAGGAAACCCCATTCCACTATAACTCTACACAGATTCTCACAAATAACTCGGTCCACCATACACGCCCCCAATCCCACGGACCTCTCTGTATACAGCTTCTTCAGTTCTCTCTCTAGCAGGTCCATCAAAATGAACAATGAGGGAATCAGGTTCAATTGGGTTGTTATTTTTGTCAATATTGACAATGTCCCACCGTACGGAGTCGAATGAAGGAGCTCTTACCTAGAGTTCAGATTCCACCGTCGTCACTGAAGTGGAGCGTACGTTAGCACCGATTTTTCTCTTCATTTATTATTTATTTAAGTGGCGGTTGGGGGTGCTTTTCTGGTAGCCGACGATGATGAGTCAGGAGTTGTGTATAATTGTAATTATAGATTATCCCCTACAAAATTTGAATATTTTCTGCACGCTTCTAGGAGAAGTCGGATTCAGCTAGGGATGTAAGCGAGTCGAGTCGAGTCGAATCGGTTCGCGAGTCGAAATTTTGGGTTCAGGCTCGTCTCGAGTAAATCATAACGGGCTTATTTTGGGCCCGAGTCGAGCCAAAGTTCCGTCAAAAAAATATTGGCTCGGTTTTTTAATTTTTTTTTTTTTGCAATTTTTAATGACATTTTTTTCACATGCTAATTGTTGTGGTGCAATTTGTTTAGTGTAGAAAGCAAAGAAATTGTTTAATGACATTTTTTTGAAAGAATTTAAAAATTGCATCATTTATTATATATACAAATTACAAATTAAATAAAAGTACAACTTTCAAAATTATGTAATTTATACGAATAACAAAATAAATAAAAGTTACAAATTACAACCCTTCTCCTTTTTTCAGGTTTGGGACCGGCTACAATCAACGTAGGCTGAGTTAAAATTGTACACGAATAAAATATTTCGTGTACAATTTTCTTGAATCAAATAAATTTAAAAAATGCATTTCTTAAAGAAAAATAATTAATTTAAAAATTTACAACATCCTATGTTTGGATATGCTGCAACTCTTCGGCCATTATACTATCAACGTTTATCATCATAAGCGGCATCTCTGCTGCAACCACGTATGCAGCCATTCCTTCACGAAATCTTTCCCGTAAATATACAAAGGTGGAAAGAGTAGAATTAGAACCGCCAAACACTAGTTCTGTCTATTTCGAGTCGAGATCGGCTGATTTCGCTTTGCAACTCCTTAATACGTGTCTATTCAAATGCGTTGTGCTCGAGCCAAGCTTCCAACTAAGTTTTTTGCCACAGTAATTGCAACATGCTTTCCAAATATCTACTCCATTTTGAACACCAATTTTTTTCGTGTCATATGTTGCCAACAGTCCGATGATTCTTTTCTTGACCTTTTTGTTTCGAGTACTTGAACTTCTTCCTCTTCAATATCCTCCAAATTAATTGGAACATTTTCACATGCATTGTAGTTAGATGGAGTACTCGAGCTATCGCCAAACTGATTAATTTCATCACTTGTAAAATCCATAATAATTAGTATAATAAAAAATATTAAATATTAGACTGTAGAGTGAAAGAAATTGAATATATTAATTGTTATTTTAGAAGTGAGAAAGAAGAAATTGAAACTTGAATGATTAAATCTGAATCTATAATATAGAAATAATGCGAATTAAAATCAATAGCAAAGTGATTTAAAACTTTAAAAATCATCCCGTATTTATAGATAAAAAAAACCCGCGTTATTTTTCAAATTTGAATTTCAAAATCTATACGATTAAAGGTAATTGTGTAACACTACGTAAAAAATGCCTGCCCTAGCTGGCAGCTATAAAGCTATCTAAAAAGACAGCTTTATAGTTGCCTAGTGACCTGTTGCCTTAGGCAACAGGTCAAATTTTTTTTAAATATATATATATATTTAGTCCTTTAATTTGCTCGGACCGAGCGCCCGTGACACGAGCCAGCCGCTCTAGCTCGGGCCGACCTCTTATTTTGAGGCTCGGTCACCCCGAGCCACGAGCCGGGCGGGCTCGGGCTTTTCCCGAGCTGAGCCACAAGCCGCCTGAGTCACCGAGCCTTTTTGACACCCCCAGATTCAGCCATTTCCAACTTCTAATAAAAAGGAGAAGAGGTTTTATTTTTCATTTGGTTTATGTCAAACAAATATTTTTCCACACATCATCTCATTAGCATTAAAAAATAATTATGTCAAATAAATATTCTTTCACACGTCATGTCACTAGCATTAAAAAAATAATAATAATAATTTTAGTAAATATGAACTACCATGAGCAAAAAAAAAAAAAAAAACTCTTCACATATGAGTTTTAAAAAAATAAAAAATAAACTCTCCGCACAGTGGGAAGAGATGGCAAACCATATGCGAAGTAAAAAAGGAAGAAAAAACTCTCTGCATAGTACGGAGAGATGGCAAACCATGTGCCCAGAGTTCCAACTCTCCGTACAGTGCGAAGTAAAAAAAAATCTCTTCGCACAGTGCGAAGAGATGGCATTCTGTGCGGACAGTCTGCACAATCTGTACAGATACTGTTCTCACAAAGTGCGGAGTAAAAAAAGCAAAAAAAAAAAAAAACTTCGCACAGTGTGGAGAGTTGGCAACCTTTCCGTACAGTGTGAAGTTATAAAAAAAAAAAAAAAACTTCGCACAGTGTGGAGAGTTGGCAACCTTTCCGTACAGTGTGAAGTTATAAAAAAAAAAAAAAAACTCTCCGCACTGTGACTGTCACGTGCGTTGCACGAATTTTGCATTTATCGTATTTTTATTAGTGTATGAATTTTAGTTTTTTGGAAAGTTTTTAAAGCAATATTTAGAAATATTTCCATGATATAAAAAAATATTTGTAATTTATTTTTACAATTGCATAACAGTATTGTGTCATCTAAAAAAAATATACTTGTATATTTCATACTTGAATAAGAAATATACGAGATTATACAAATTATTTTGCTTATATTCTTTGATAGTGTTGATATGATTGAGTTGAATGTGAAGATTATATTTTTAAATTTTGTGTAATTCAATATTGAAAAATTGAAGATTGAGCACCATATTCATATATATTTATATTTTGTGCTTCATATATATTTAATATTTATTTTATGCTTATGTTGAAAAAATAAAAATCTAAATTTTTTTTTGAAATTCGATTTGGTAAATGAATGTACAGTGTTCTAC